ATGAAGAGGATGGACTTTGAGCATTCTGTGAAACATTTAGATTCTTATATCAGATGATTCTCCTCTTCAGTTAAGACTCAGAAAATCTACATAGATATCAAAAGAAAATTCTACTTCACTATGGTTTGTTGACCAAACACTGAGCTGGTGAGGGGGCACTTAAGCAAATCTTTACTGATATGATTGACCTGCATTAACCCAATTCCCAAAGAACACAGGGAACTGGAAGAATGATCATAAGCATCAGGCGGCACAATGATGGTCTGTTTTGCTTAAGCACCTTAAAAAAAGAAGCCCTGGCAAAACCAATGAATACCTAAGCCACCTAGTTCATCTGCATTTCTCTGTATGAATTCAATCTTGACATAGCATACAATATTCCCAAATACCTTTCTCTTTGTCAACTCTTATGACCACGACACATTCATTCCTCCCGATGCGGATCAGTTTGTTTATGGAACGAATACGTCTTCTGGACAGCTCACTGAGAAGGATCATGCCTTCAATGTTGTTGTACTCCAGCAGGCTGACATAGGCTCCCATTTCAGCAATGGACCGAACATTGACCATCACTACATCTTCCACCTCTGGAAATTTATGCTGGTAGAATCTACAGCTTAGTCCCGGCATTCTGGAATTTGAGCAGAAAGAAACAAAGACTTTATTTCACAGTACATCACTGTCTTCTCCCACAAACATTGTAAAAAAATCAGCAAGGACTGGTGAGGATAGAAGGGACTACTAGCACAAAAAATTGCAAATTAGGATAAGGCTTCTGCAATTCATACTTTTAATAGAAATTAAAGAATAAATTAACTAGTATTTTAGTATTACCACAACCATTTGCTAAGATGCTAATTTTTTGCATTAAAGTAGAAAAAGCTTGCCACTCAGACTTTATTATCCACTCCCAACTGTTGTACTGCCTAGACATAGCACACTGTAGCGAGGAGACTTCAAGCGGTGAAAAGGTGGCACTGCACAACTTGCATTCATCTAAATTCATGAGGCTGTGTAAAATTTTAAATCTGATTTTAGCAGGAGGACGTGGGAGAGAAGCAGCCTGCATTTCTCAAAGGTATTTGTATGCACATAATAAGATAGCTTGTGAGAGGCTGAGAAATTAAAAGAGGTAGAGCGAAACTTCTGTAGTACTGAGGAGGAGCAGACTCTACGATCCATAAGATCACTTTCTAAACTCAGCACAAGGTATTTGGAATAATCCTGCAAGACCTGCTCCAGAAGCCACCCGTCAGCAAAAAAAACAAAGGCAAGAATCAGAACAGAAGACAGAACTAGCCTGACATGAATGAAGCACTAAAGGAAAAAAAGCACTCCCCAACATACTGCTAGTCAGGAGGAAAAAAAACCCTGAAAAACAAACCAGCATCCTTTCATTACACATTTAAAAAAAAAACCCGCTTCATAGTCACATAGTAATAAGAAGAAATGCTTAAAGTGCTTCATTTTCCCGATGATGACTCCACATACTCATCACTGCTAATCACGTTTGTTCAATTCCTTTTGTCTGTGCCTAGAAGTTTCACACAGAAAGCTTCCTACAGAATCAAGAGCCTAAGATGACGAGTCACATGTATCACTCCTTCAGGAGGTTATTCATCATTTTGGTTTTACTCTCGATCTTTACAGCAGTGCTAATGCTGTCTAGCTCTATCAGAATAAAAAAAATTGAGTAAAATGGCAATACCAAGTGCTACATACACGTGGCCATACCATTCAGAAGCCTGTGTCCATCCTTATCTCCAATTTTCACTTTCAGGAAGGGGGAATCGAGACTCGTAAGGGATTATAAAAGCACTCCTCTAAAGGTTTCCTGTAACTTCATATAATTTGAAGCTGAACAAAGATCTTCAAGATCAGAAGCTTTACAGTTCCACTTAATGTAGTTCAGCTCAATCCTACATGTCTACTTATGAAATAAAACTATATTGCTAAGCAACAAACCCCAACCACAGCAAGCAAGAATAGACAAACACTGCTCTGCACGCAGAGCATCGTACTCCTCGCCATAAGGACAAGCTTTTTATTTTGGCCTTCTATGGAAGACTCGCAGGAGCAACACAGTGCCCATAGCGCCAATGCTGGAAATCGTCTTTCCGAGACGCTAGAAAGTTCTCAGCAAAGGTTTAAGTTGGCACGGCTGCACAGGCCTGCGGAAACTGGCGAAAATGGAGTCCCTTCTGACCAGCGACTCCTCCGGCCGTCGGAGCGTCACCAACACAGGCGATGCCCAGCGATAGCTACGGCACCAGAGAAGGGAAGCGGGCCGCAGGGCGACCGGCGGCCGCTGTCGGGCCGGGAAGAGCCCACCTCTAGCACAGTGAAGGCGAGAGGCCGGCGGCCCCCCGGGGAGCGCGGCCCCGCGGGCTGGAGAGCTCGCAGCTGCAGCGCCGGTCC